CAGAACTTTTGTTGAATATTATTTATAATTATTGTTTCTGTTTTAGTTTTTTGATTTATATTTTATTTTGAATATTGTTTGTATAACTTTATATATTCCCATAAATTATTTTTATTTATTTATTTGTTTATGTTATATTTTGATTTGATGCATTTAATTATTTGATTTTTTAAAAAAACATTTCTTTTTTAAAATTTAGTTTAAAGGTCAGAATATTCCAATTTAGGAACACTCAGTAAACTGTTTAATTTAAATTTGTAGAACCTAAAGCATGCTCATAAACTAGGCCAAAAATATTTGTTTTTAATAAAGTATTACTGGAAGAAATAAGTAAGTGTCAAATTAATTATTGTTAAGTTCCAGCTTTGAAACACTATGGCTTCCACCTGTTTAAGCATTTGAAGGCTTGTGAGACAACAATCAACAGAATAAAAAATTTGGAAAGTATACAAATTACATGTCGTACAAAGACAACAAATTTTATTTTACAAGACAAATACATATGAAAATAGCTGAAACAAAAATTGATAACCACCAAAACTGCCATCTCTAGGCGATTTTTACAAATAATAAATCTGTCTGCCTTGACCAATACACTTGCAAATTCCTGATAATCAAAACCATATACAAAGATATTTAGTGCTACTGTAAAATAATCAATCAACCAATGAAAAACAAAAACACATGATTTCAAAGTAACACAATAATACTGAAGCTAAGATTCAAACTAAATTCTTATACACTAAAACTAAGCTGGTTGTTCGTTAGAAGAGAGAAAGAGCAAATGAAAAAAATAGTGTTAAAAATAAATAGGTGGCAACATTGAGACTTTTTTTATCAATAGTAAAGACTTCACCAAAAACTTTTAATATTAGAAATTATTCAAAATTAATGTTGTGCTGTCAACTAGTCAATGAATACTAAACAATTTTAGTCACAATATTCTCATTCTTCCAAACTCAATATGCAAGGTTTTCATAGTTTTATACTTTTGTAGTGCTACGTGACTATGTATTATTATTATATTTTTTTTTATCAGGTTCCTTTTTGTATGTATCGGGTTTTCTTAATTTGTACAATGTCGCATGTATTTTTGTGTTATGATGTCACCCCTTAGATACCATGGGAAAAGCCTTCCGATTGGTTCAATGTGGGACACATGGTAAAACGGACTTACGGAGAGCGGGAAGTATAAAAATGTGTGAACTCCCACAATTCGGTATTCTGGTTCGTGCATCCGTCGAGGTTAGTACGAAGGTTTGAGGCCTGGTCAGAAGAATAGGAGTGAGAAAGGAAGACCAGTCGAGCTCAAGTCCAATCTGTTTCCATCTTAAGGAAATCTACAAATAACAACGAGGGACATACGTTTTGTCATGTGATTTACATCCAGGTTTTGTACATAACTCTTAGTTTTAAGTTAACAATACTTATATATAGTGTAAACTCGAGTGGTGGGAATCCTATATCGTGTAAACTCGAGTAGTAGGGATCAAGGTTATCGTACTGGTAAAATAAACTTTCTTTGTTATTTTCGTGCACGTGTTTGGTCATTGTTTGAGTCCTTAATATATATATATTATTGTCTCCATGGATTTTGATCTACTGGAAATACTACACTTTCATTTATAAGCTGGAATTAACATTTAATACAGAAAAATCATACTTTCCTCACACTTTCCAGCATATAATTATGTTTTTTTTTATTAAACTGTTAGAAGGTAGAAGGTGGGATTTTTTTGTAAGTAAATATTTTCACATGATAGAAATTCTCTTCTAAAACTGTTTTCGGCAAAATTTTCAAACTCTATTTCCAATCTTCTCTACAACTTTATAGAGTCTCAATCTCTCACATCTAGAACTATACTGGCTTCCCAAGTAGCCCTACAAACCTTTATTCATTCCATTCAATAAATTTTCTATCATAGAGGGTTAGTAAAAAGCCCAGGTTACTGACAACATGGAAAAATATACACAAAAAAAAACAAAGATTTGAGAGTTTATATTCCAAGGAAATAAAACATATTATTTTAAATTTAGCAATTATGGCAAACACCCATAACAGAACTTAGTGGCAGACTTCTTCAATAAATAAACAAAACAGCTTATGTTCTGATACCAAAAGTTACTCAATATTGGAATTGATACAGTTAAAAAATAGTGAAATACTTGTATAAACTTTTGACAATGAAGAAAGTCCAAAATTTTTTATTAACAATTAACATTAATTTTAATTGCAATTAATTATTAACAATTAATTTTAATTGCTATGTTTAATGCTAAATTGATGTTAAATGTTGAACAGATCTATGGAGCTTCCAATTCCATCTTTATATACAATAGGGTCTTGTTTCACAGAGGATTGATATATGTAGATTTGTGTTTTCATAGATGATGAAAGATTAGGTTAACTCTTAGATGCACAGAGATAATTATTACCATTAATACATGTACTGATTATTATTATTATAAAATTTAGCATATAATAAAAACATTTTAATATTTTTCTATTAATTGTAAATGTATAGGCAATCATCTGAAAGTACTTGGGGTGAAGTACAAATGTACACAATATCATTTTGTGATACCTGCTGATGTGCAACCTTTGCAAAAAAAAACAAGACTATTCTGTATATTATTAAAGAGCTATTAAAGTTTCATTAAACAATATTCTTGTAAAGCTTTCTGAATTACATTTCCACATTAAACCAATATATAATTTTTTAAAGATGTTTCTTTATTTAAAACATCTCACTAGATATTTTAAGATAAAGAACTGTATCATGTAAATTGAATGTAAAATCATTACCATCATTACCAAGATATTACAGCATAAGATATCATAATCAAACTTCCACCAATTCATATTTAAAATTTGGACATAAAATTTATTTTTGAAAGATCTCTTTCAAATTCAAATTTTTGATAAAGTTTTTTCAGAAGCAAAATATTATGCTAAGGCAAGTTCTGTATATTAGATAGAAGTAATGATAGAAGTAATGATAGAAGTAATGATAGAAGTAATGATAGAAGTTATATAAATGACAATAATTATAGGATAAGAAGTGATAATATAAGAATTGATTAATGCTGTTTTAACAGTCTTAATGAATTCTTCTAACTACTAACAACTTTTAATCAGTTCTTATACAAAACTGTTGAAACAGTTTTGTATAAGAACTGATTAAAAGTTTATCCTTTGTAATAAACAGTTTTTTGTTTATTACAAAGGATAAAAAATATATTATGTGCTTCTTTCAAATCTGGTATAAAACATTCTCCAATATCAATTCTGATAACATAGCAGCTTTCTTAGCAATTTTTATATTCATCTTACGTTCTATAATTCTATATTTGAATGCGTTCTGTTGCTCTTACATAACACAACTGTTGTATTAATTTTCTTTTTTAATGGTATTCTGTAACCTTTATATTTTTATACTGTTCTCTATGGATCTCTATTATTAATGCAAAATCTATTAGAGAATGCTATGTAATTTTACTGAGGAATTTTAACAATTTTTAATAATTTATATATTAGTCTCCTATTGTGTATTAATAGAACTGGAGAGTATTTTAATTCCATTCTTGTGAAAGTAAAAACTGTCAGTTTAATAACATAAATAAAGTAAATAAAAGATTTAACTGATATATGAAATATGTGAAAGTCTTTTAAATTTAAATGAATTCAAAATAAAAACACATTAACTAATAAAAATGAAATATTTATAGATTATAGATATTAGATAGATATTAATAGATATGTATGTATGTTAATACAGGTATACCTCACCTTACATCGATAATTGGTTCCAGAAGAGGCGACTTAAGTCGAAAAACGACGTAAGTTGAATTTACTTGTCACTAAAAACACCAATAATGAGCACTTAAAGACTGCTAAATAAGATGACACCACAGAAACACAGATGTTTTCATGTTTTGTTCTCTAGGATTTATGATGATTATATTAACATTTACTATAAATGTACATATTTTAATATGATTTTATGTGCTTTAAACGCTTTTCTAGTGATATTACGACTTCAATATTTGTGGCAGATGGATGTAAAGTCGAATAAAATGACTTAAACTTGATTTTTATTTTTCCGTATATTTTTTTGACAAACGACGTATAATTGAGAATGATGTAACTCGAGGTATACCTGTATATCAATACTGTAATCTTTTTAAACAAAAATCATCACATATTATAAATTAAGTTATTTTAAATACAAAAAAATTTTGTTTACTCTAAAAGTTACTGCAATTGATCTCTTTAATTTTTTTTATTTTGGAATTTTATTATCAATGTTAAATGTTGTTAAATTAAATTTGAATTCTTAATGTGCATATTAGTAGTTTTAACATAAATTTTTTTCAGTAAAAGGTATAAATATAACTATCATATAAATGATATATCATTTATGTATGTGATTTAAATTTTGTTAAAACATTTTCATACTGATCTATGTTATAAATCTGTAAATTATCCTTTGCATTTTATTTACTTACATTGAATTAAACAAAAATGTCTTCTGAGTCAATAAAAAACAGAAGTAAGAGAGTTTGCCAAAAGTCTTTGTTAAAACTTAATATTCAGCTTATTTTTACCATTATCATTTTCAGTAATTATATTCAAATATATTTATTTACTTTTAATCACTTTTAAATTTACTTGTAAAAGTAAACAAATCAAGTTTCATTTCTAAAACAACATCCAATATTTCATCAAATGTATGTAGAAAAGAATAACTCGATGAAATTATAAATCTTCATTTTAATAAATCTAAATAACCAAACTATTGATCTCAAATATACAAATTACAATATGCATATTTTTAAGAACAGTTTCCAATCTTTGTATTTTTCCTTTACCTATAATAAATAATACTAACCTATAGTCAACACTTGAAAATATTCTAAAAGGATTATTATTTAATTATTGTAAAATAACATATGGTTTTGTCAAAATTAATATTTCACAAAACTTGATAAGCACTCACCTGCATTCCAATAATAGCATAGATAAAGAATAGCATAGCAATAAGAAGGCAAACATATGGCAGAGCCTAAAAGAGAAACATAAAACTATATTATTATTAAAATATATACAACTATAACATTTATATAATAATTTTTTTTTTATAAGTCTCCAAAATCAATAAAATTGTTAAGATTTATTGTCATTATATAAGTTCTATCTTTAAATTAATGATGATTTTATTGTTCAAATTCAAACATATTATGTTTTATAATTAACTCATCATCATCAAATCCCATTAACTTGCCACTGAGCAATACATATGCTCAGTGGCAAGGATTTACAGGAATTTTTAACAATGCTCCTCCATAGTTAGTGATCAGAAGCTGATATTTTTGTTTTTGAAAAAGTTATTCGTTCGCATTGTTACTCTAATTCAATCATTTTTTCCCGGGTCTTTTTGGGCAGATTACATTGCGTCTTCCAGTTGTCAGATAAAATTACTTACATTTATTTAATGCTTGGCCATTTGTTTTTTCTGAATATAAGTACACATCAATAAAAATTTAATGTCTTAAACTCTTAAAAGCAGCAATAAATATCTGAGAAATTCCTCGAATGATGACACATCACTTACAAGTTTTGTTTATTAACACATATTACCTTTCTATTTATTGAAGAATAAAACATTGTGGTTTCCCTAAAATGAATGCAGTCATTTAAAATGTCTAATTTGTCCTGCCTTTATTCATTCATTTTAATGTATATTTTATAGTAACACATTAAATAAATTTTTCTATAGATTTTGTTTATTTGACATTACATTTTGTTGTTTTTTCATTTTAAATTATTAATTAAAATTTGCCAAATGTTTAATTTGAGTACCAGATTAGATGTGATTAGTTGTTCATTAAATTATTGATCAAATTTTTAATTCTGTTCTTCTCATTTACCTTCTCCCTAGTCATTACATTGGTCAGCAAAGCCTGTTTCTAAAGATAAAAACCTTATTCACATCATAATTTTTAATTCAAAATGGCCATGTCTGTTCATTTCATTAAAGTTTTTGGTTATCTAATGTAGTATTGGTCCACATTTCTGTTCTACTACAATCAAGGTTCTACTACATTAAAATATGATATTCTTTATCACATGATTACATTGGCAATTCATAAGTAGCAATGGTGGTCACTCCCTGAAAAAACAAGAAATAACAAACCCAAAATAAAACAAAACAATAAATAAATTACAATAAAAAGCAAACAAGATAATAAATACACAAAGTTGTTTAAAGACACATAAGTAAAAAGAAACACAATAAGATCACAAAAACAAGCCTAAAAATAATATCCAGTAAAAATTTAAAATTACATTGAGAATGAGTTATCTTCTTCTTATCCATTTAGTCATGTCTGACTCTCGGTCACTCTATGGATCAAAGCTTTCCATGCCTCTCTACCCTGCACAGCCTCCTTCAATTCTGTTATAGATAATTCAGTGTTACTTTTGATTGTGTCGAGCCACTGAGTCCTTCATCGACCTCGCACTCTTTTCCCACTAACCATCCCCTGCATGATCACCTTCTCAGGGGAGCTGGTTCTCATTCTATGACCAAAAAAGAACAGTTTCTGCTTGGTTATCTGGACTTTCAGTGAGATTTTCGGTTGAACTCTGTCTAAGACAGTTTTGTTGGTGATCTGTGCTGTCCATGGAATGCGCAAAAGCCATCTCCAACACCACAGTTTGAAAGCATCTATCTTCCTTCTGTTTTCTTTAGATTCCAAGTTTCACATCCATATATGACAATAGGAAAAATAATTGTACTAACTAATCTGCATTTAATTTGGAGGCAGATGTTTTTGCTCTTCCAAAAGCTGTTCATGCTGATCATCGAGGTTTGTCCAAGGGCTGTGTCCTTTGATTTCAGGACTGCAATCTCCATTACGATTGATTTTGGACCCAAGGAATATGAAATCTTCCACTATAGTAGTACCTCAGGAAACAAAATTAATCCGTTCCTAAACTGAGATCGTAGCATGAAAATGTCGTAAGATGAATCATTTTTCCCCATATGATTACATGTAAAACCAAATAATCCATTCCAACACGAAAAACACACTTAAATTTAAAACTAAGTAGTACATTGAAAAAAAATAACTTTAGTAAGGAAAACACTGAAAAATGTGTTTTGTAGTTGTAAATGTATAAATAACCATAATAGAATAACTGATTTAAAAAATGTAGTTTTATTTGCATTTTACCTTTGAGGATAGACGATGGCGGAGGTGTAAACTGGTGGCAGAGGAGAGGGAGAAGGGAAATGATACTAAAACTTAACTTACATAACATAATGTAACAATAACTTAAAAATAACTTAACACTAATTTTTTTTATCTTTTCTGTTTTATATATTTTTTTAAATTTTTTATTCTCTGCTTTTTGCTTTCTTTCCTTCACTTCCACCAGCACTTTCACTGGATAGAGGTCACTTGGTAAAATATCTATCCAAAGAGCTTTGCCTACTTTTTAAAATGTTTCTAAAATGACTTAGGCAAATGTCATTACTCTGGGCAGCAATATGGCCAGTTTGGGATGTTTCTTTTCAATAAAATCAGTCTGATAATACCTCAAGATTTCCTTTATCGAGTGAGATCCTTCCATGACGAAGCAAATACATGAACTGAGACCGATGAACAGAAGGACCACATGATCATGAAAGTGGCACTGCAAACTAATGTAACGTCATATGGTGAGTTTTTGTTCGTATCGTGGAGCAAAAATATGTTTGAATTTCATGTCGTATCCTGAAAATTTCATATGCTGAAGCATTCGTATCCTGAGGTATTACTGTACCTTGATTTCTTCTCCATTGATCACTATTTTGACTTCCATATTCCGTGCAGTAATCATTATTTTGGTCTTCCTGAAGTTAAGAAACAGCCCTACGTTTGCACTTTTATGCTTGACTCTCAGAAGCAGCTGCTCAAGATCTTCCTGACTTTCCAGGAGCAGTGTGGATACCACACGGATTATTCACGTTCCTGCCTCCAGTTTTCACTCCAATGTCTGCCATTTCTATTCATTGTGCGCCATTTTAGCGGAATTGGTCATGAGGCATGTGGAACACAGGTTCTTTAGATTTTCCCTCACAATAACTTACCCGTTGGTGTATTTGAGGTACATGGACAATATTCTTTTGGAGTGGCAGGACACAGAGGACTCTTTTCTAGTGTTAGAGCATTTCATTGCAAATGTATACCCCTCTATCAACTTCACCTGGGAGAAAAAAATTGGAAAAATAAAATTGCTTTTTTTAGACCTGGACATCTCCAAATCCCAGGGAGGCTTGGTATTCTCCATGTTCCACAAGTTTAGTAACATTCCACCTATAATCCCTACCACAACCTTCCAGCCACAACAGTATGTTAATGCTGCTATAGTCCCATTAATTAGAAGAGCCTTTTTATTACCTTCCACACAAGCCTTTACCAACTCTGAGCTCAATGCCATCTGCTCAGCGGTATGTGCAGCAGGATATGGCCCTTCCAAGTATAATCATATTCTAAACAGAGTAAAAAGGTCCTTTACCCCACAACTACATTACGCAAGAAAATGGTATAGAAGAAATGAACAGTAGTCCGTCCTTCCAGGGCCATTTTGTGGCCACCTCACAGCTCACATTTGCTGCATATTTAGGCAAAATTCATTACTTTTACTCATTGTCCCCCACCAAAGTCTGAGGAGACTTTTGTGAGTTTAGCCGATTGGGGTGAGGAGTTTCTCGACAGCCAAGCAGTCAACTCTGTCTTGTGGGAACGTTAGGATTCACTGAGACAGGCTTCCATCATAAACCGTTTATTAAACATAGAAATTATGCTTATATCTATTCTTTACAATCGGTGTAAGGCCTATCCAAGGGCAAACCAGTCTGTACTATAAAAAGAGTCAACTGTCCATACGAACGATGAGTTTCCGGTGAATCGATGTGGAGAGCAATGGCCCCAGGCTGCACTTTGGGAAGGATGGTCATCATCGGGAAACACCTGGGCGACCTTCTGGGTTAGACGTCAAAGTCAATCTTCTACCGTCGATGCTGCTTTCACTAATGTTGGGACAGGAGCACAATAATTCCATGAAAAAAACGTTTTGAGGCCAAGACTAAGAATCGAGCACCTCACATCTGACTTTACTCAGTTTTTATAAGTTTTCTTTCAGTCCCTCGAACATTCCAATAGGTCAATGTCAATCTGCCCCTACTCTCTAATTGGTCTACCCTCCTCATTACGAATTGCAACGGGATCAGAGCCCAGATTGCAGGGTGAGTCACCTCCGATTGACAATTTGATTCCTATCGAAGATGTTCGATCTAAGCACTCAAATTCATCTATTGTTTTATTCTGAAAAATTCATTTTTTCATAGAAAATTTTACAGATATGTCTTTATATGGACATAAAATATACATTTCATGTCTGATGGTTTTGTTTTACAATATTATACGAATTATTATTATTATTAATTTTTTTTATACGAAANAGTCGACCCTCCTATAACACGGTAGATACGTTCCATTCTTTATGAATCGATTTCTTACAAGTCCTTGAATGATGAAAAGCACACTTGCCTTTTTATACAAAAAAGGCTTCTTTAGTTTTAACTCAAATACAATTTGAAAATCTGTTGTTGTACTGTAACAATTAACTTAAACTTCAAAATGGTGAAAAACAAATATCAGCTATTGACCAACATTATAAATTCATATACCGTACATATTTTTTTCAATTGTTAATCAGTCCTTTATTTTATTCAACTTTAAGAATTTAAGAAACTGTATTGTATTGAAAGTTTAAAGTATCATCATTAATAAGATTATTAACATTTTATTATTGTATTACAAATTTGAAAAATTATTAAATTTAAACAAATATTTAATGATCAATGGAAAAAGTATATAATTTTTTTTTATATTTACCAATTATGTAAGTGCTTCAACGAAACATGTAGTTTGGTTACCATAGTATAATTTCCAATATCTGTTTATAATTAGTATAAATTTTCTCACTTCTATATGCAATACAAATTATATCAGA